GAGCTCAATGATCTTAGAAAAACATAGAAAGATTTGGCTTGAAGTAATGAAGATTTAAATGAGCAGAACGAAGAGAAAATTGTATACAGTAACAGCAATAGAGTTTTAAGAACCACTTTGAATGAATAATCTATTTTGTCTATTACAAATACTCAAATTAACTATCAAGGATATAGGAAGAAACATATTGTCTGCCTCCAGAAAAACAAATGATAAATAGAATTGTGTAGGAGGCAGACTCAAGATAGTGGAGAAAAGGCAAGGACTCATCTGAGCTCTCCCCCAAACCCCTTCAAATACCTTTAAAAATAACTCTGAACAAATTCTAGGGCAGTAGAACCCACAAAGACAGAGTGAAACAAATTTCCAGCCCAAGACAATTTGGAAGGTTGAAAGGAAAGGTATGTTGCACCAGGGTGAGAGAGGAGTGCATTCTGTTGCAGGCCTCACAGCCCAGAAATAAGCCCCAGCAAACCTGGAGCAGGCCTTGGGGTGACTGAATCACTGGCAGCAGTGGCAGTTTCAAGACCTCTCAGCCCTCAGACACCAAAAACAACTTAGAAGGTCAGCAAGAAATGTCTGTCACATCTGGGTGAGAGTGGAGTGAAGGCCATTGCAGGCCACAACAGCACAGCTCCAGCCATGACAAACCAGGAACAGACCTTGGGAATGACTGAATCAGCAATGGGAATGCTGCTTCCAGAGCTCTCAGCTGCCAAATGGTAAGGGCATCAAACAACTGAACAGAAGGAGATTTCAGGGGTCTTTTCACTAGCGCTGCAGCAGGACTCTGTTGCTTTGCCCATACTCAGATCCAGGTTGCAGTCCTCGGTGGCAGTCCCAGAGTGAAAAGCAGTACTATCATATCAAACCTTGTGTCCACAGTGAAGGGGGAGACCCTCTTCATGGTTCCAAAGCAGAAAATAGTGCTTGTGCTCTCTCAAAGAACAGAGCACAGGCCAGAAGAGAAGTAAATACCTTTCCTTAGATCATACCATTTTGGAAGAACTGACAACTTACAGGTCACTAGAAGTATCTCTGAAAACAGCTATATTAAAACTACTGAAGCTTGGAACAGTGTGTCCTCTTCCCTGAAAGCAAAGCACCACTTTAACAAAGAGTTAAAAGTCAAGATATAGGCTGGGAAAATGAGCAAACAACAGGAAAAAATACTCTGACTATAGAAAGTTACTATGGTGACAAGGAAGATTAAAACACGCACTCAGAAGAAGACAACAAAGTCAAAGCTCCTACATCCAAAGGCTCCAAAAATGATAATAATTGGAAGAGCTCAAAAAAGATTTTGAAAATCAAGTAAGAGAGATAGAGGAAAAATTGGGAACAGAAATGAGAGTGATGCATGAAAATCATCAAAAATGAGTCAACAGAATGGTAAAGGAGACACAAAAAAATACTGAAGAAAATAGCATCTTAAAAAACAGCCTAAGTCAAATGATAGAAGAGGTCCAAAAAAAAAACAATGAGAAAAAAAATGCCTTAAAAATCAAAACTGGTCAAATAGAAAAACAGGTCCAAAAGATTGCTGAAGAAAATAATTCCTTAAAAAAATTAGAATGGAGCAAATGGAAGCTAATGTCTTTATGAGAAATCAAGAAACAGTGAAAAACAAAAGAATAAAAAAATAGAAGAAAATGTAAAATATCTCATTGGATAAACCATTGACCTGGAAAATACACACAGGAGAGATAATTTAAAAATTACTATACTACCTGAAACCCATCATCAAAAAAAGAGCCTAGACATCATCTGTCAAGAAATTATCAAAGGAAACTGCCCTGATACTCTAGAACCAGAGGGTAAAATTGAAATGGAAAGAATCCACTGACCACTTCCTGAAAGAGATCCAAAATAAAAACTGCCAGGAATATTACAGCCAAATTCCAAAGTTCTCAGGTCAAAGAGAAAATATAGCAAGCAATTGGAAAGAAACAATTCAAGCATAGTGGAGCCACAGTCATGATAACACTAGATTTAGCAGTTTCTACATTAAAGGATTAAAGGGCTTGAAATATGATATTCCATAGGGTAAAGGAGCTAGGATTACAACCAAAAATCACCTATCCAGCAAAACTATGTATAATCCTTTGCGTTGGGGGGGGGGGAGGAATGGATATTCAATGAAATAGAGGACTTTCAAGCATTCTTGATGAAAAGACCAGAGCTGAATAGAAAATTTGACTTTCAAATACAGGACTCAAGAGAAGCAGAAAAAAAAATAGGTAAACAGGAAAGGGAAATCATAAGGGACTTAATAAGGTTAAACAGTTTACATTCCTACACGGGAAGATGATACTTGTAACTCATAAGAACTTTCTCATTATTAGTGTAATTAGAAAGAATATATATGGTATGTATGCATGTATACACACACACACACACACACACACAGAGCAGGTGAAAGTTGAATGTGAAGAGATAATATCTAAAAAATAAAATTAAGTGATGAGAAAGGAATATACTGGGAAAAAGAGGAAGGGAGAGGTAGAATGGGGCAAATCATCTCACATAAAAGAGTCAAGAAGAAGCTTTTACAGTGGAGGGGAAAAAGGGGGAGGTGAGGGGGGAGGTGAGTGAACCTTACTTTCATCAGAAGTGGCCTAATACACACTCAATTGTGTATAGAAATCGACTTTACCCTGCAGGAAAACAGAAAGGGAAGGGGATAAGAAAAGGGGGGGATGATAGAAGGGAGGGAAGACTGGGGGAGGGGTAGTCAGAAGCAAAACATTTTTGAGGAGGGACAGGGTAAAAGAAGAGAGAAAATAGAATAAACAGGAGGGGGAATAGGATGGAGGGAAATACAGTTAGCAATAGTAACTGTGAAAAAAAATCGAAACGAGTTTCTTTGCTAAAGGTCTCATTTCTCAAAGATATAGAGAACTGAGTCAAATTTATAAAAATAAGAGTCATTCCCCAATTGATAAGTGATCAAAAATATGATCAGTTTTCACATGAAGTAATCAAAGGTATCTATAGCCATATGAAAAAAAATACTCTAACTCACTATTGATTGGACAAATGCAAATTAAAGCAATTTTGAGGTACTACCTCATGCCTATTAGATTAGCTAATAGAGCAGAAAAGGTAAATGACCAGTGTTTGAGGGGATATGGGAAAAAATGAGACATCAATTCATTGTTGATGGAGTTGTGAGCTGATTCAACCTTTCCGTAGAGCTTCTATAGAGTTCTGTAGAACTACACCCAAAAGGCTATAAAACCATACATACCCTTTGACCTAGCAATACCATTACTAGATCTGTATCCCAAAAGAGATAAAATACAAAAAGGAAAAGGGTTTTCATGTACAAAATTATTTATAGCAGCTCTTTTCTTGGGGCAAATAATTAGAAATTAATGGGATATCAATCAATTAGGGAATGACTAAACAAATTGTGGAATATGATTATGATGGAATACTATTGTACTATAAGAAATGATAAGCAGGATACTCTTAGAAAAACCTGGAAAGACTTACATGAGCTGGTGCAAAGTGAAGTGTACCATGTATAGGATTAATATAAATATAATCAGATGATCAACTGTGAATGATTTATCTATTCTAAGCAAGTAAACGACCCAAAAAAACCCTGAAGGACTTATGATGAAAAAAGCTGTCTATCTCCAGAGAAAGAACTGATGCTGTTTGAATACAGATTGAAGAATACTTTATTTTTACTATCTTTCTTTGTCTTGAGATTTTCCCCCATATTTTCTTTCACAACATGACTATTATGGAAATGTTTTGCATGATTACATGTTTATAACCTAAGTCAAATTTCTTGCCTTCTCAATGAGAGGTGGTGAAGAGGAAAGAAAGAAAAGAATTTGAACTCAAAGTTTTAAAAATAGATGTTAAAGATTGTTTTTACATGTAACTGAGCAAAATAAAATACTAAATTTAAAAAGTATGCGTAAAATAATTATGTATACACGTATATACATACACACATATGTGTGCATATACACACACATGTATCTCATACATACACACACACACATACACACACCTATCTATGCCTAATGATAGCCATCTCTATGGAGGGGAGGGGAGGGAAGAAAAGAAAGGGTAAAAATTACATGATAATTTTCTTGTATATTTCAAAGGAATAATAAGTTGTGCACAGTAGATCTGCAGTTTTTTTTTGCAATCGTCTTTTTAATGATACTGTGTTTTTAAAATGCTTGTCTCATTCAATAAATTAAAAATAAAAGAAATTTTAGAAATTTAAAATGAAACAAAAGACATTGACCTGGCACTTCAACTTTATTGAATTCTTCTAAATATAGGTGGCTCTGTTGGCACCTGCACCATCATGTGCAGGTCAAAGGGCCTAAAGGCACATCCATAAACCCATAGACTTCCAGAGTTGGAAGGGATCTCAGAGGTCATCCAGTCTAACTTGGACCCAGCAAACAACACCAACAAAATACACTGAACAGCTTTTGCTTGAAGAGCTCCAACAATGGGGAATCTGCTACCTCTGAAGAAAAAACATTTCATTTTCGGACAACTCTGATTGTTAGAAAATTTTTCCTAGCATCAAGCCAAATTGTATCCCCCTGTGACTTTCACTCTTTGCTCCTGTTTCTGCAGCCAAGGAGAACAAGTTAATACCTTGTCTACTAACAGACCTTCAAACACTTGAAGACAGTCATCGTCCCTGTCTTCACCCCCAAACTGAGTCTTCTTGTCCTTAAGTTAAATATTCCAGGTTCCTCCAACTGTTCCTCCTATGGGATGCATTTGAACCCCTTCTCCATCCTCAGTGCCCTCTACTTCAATCCTATTCTTCTTCCCCCACTCTCAGACGTGAAGGAAGGGAACTTCAAAGGTCTATGTTTTCTATCATATTTCTTCTAGCCACAAGACCTCTAAAAGGGTTGGAAACCTTAAGGAATGATGAAGAAAAGGAGTCAAAGAAATCTTTCAAAGAATCCTGGAGATGAAAAATATTTATCCTAATTAAAAGAACTCACCGAATGATTTAATGATATGGAAGTGGACAGGAACTTGGGGACGATCAATAAACACTTGGTCTTGGTTGACCAGGACCTCCTTGATCAGTGGCAATCCAGTCACTACCAGAAATGTAAGATTTCCCACATGTGTGCAGAAAACATTTCCGTATTTCTTGGCAAACTGAAAAAGAATTAATTTGAGTTGCAAACTTTCATTGTCTTTCAGGCTATTTTTATTCTGTATTGTTATCAGATAACATTCTAGCAATGCGAAATATTAATTTCAATGGAGCACACTCAATTCAGTCTGATCCAATTCCACTGAATTCAGTTCAGTTCATCCCAACAAACACTGAATCATCCAACTATATCCCAAGCCCTGATCTGGGCAGACAGTCACAAACATCAAACAGCTCCTTCCTTTGAGGAACTGACATCGGAAAGAAATTATGTATGAACATATAAGTAAATACAGGATATACACAAAGGAAATTCTAAATAATTTGAAGGGAGACTAGTGCCTGGGAGGGTTCTAGAAGGCTTCCTGCAAGAAATAGACCCTACAGTGGATAGAGCACTGGCCCTGAAGTCAAGAAGACCTGAGTTCAAATCTGACCTCAGACCAAACACTTGACATTTACTAGCTGTGAGACCTTGGGCAAGTCATTTAACCCCAATTGCCTAAAAAACAAGAAGAAGAAGAAGAAGAAGAAGAAGAAGAAGAAGAAGAAGAAGAAGAAGAAGAAGAAGAAGAAGAAGAAGAAGAAGAAGAAGAAGAAGAAGAAGAAGAAGAAGAAGAAGAAGAAAGAAAAGAAAAGAAAAGAAAAGAAAAGAAAAGAAAAGAAAAGAAAAGAAAAGAAAAGAAAAGAAAAGAAAAGAAAAGAAAAGAAAAGAAAAGAAATAGCCCGGAAACTGAGCTTTGATGGAAACTGGGAATTCCAAAAGATTCAGGGGAAAAGGAAATATATCCCAGGCTCTGAAGTGACTGCTGCATTCAAGACAGCATGCTGGGTTAGGAATATATGACAAAGAACAACTGGGAGTTTAATATGGGGGAAAGACCTAGAAGTCAACACTTGAACCATTAGTAAGTTCATTAGAGTAGGTAGAATGTAAACTCCCAGAGAGCAGGGGCAGTTTTATTTTTGTTTTCTTCATCTCCAGCACATAGCATAGTACCTGGCACATAGAAGATCCTTATGAAATGACTGTTAATTAATTAATTGATTGATGGATTGTCCTTTCCCCCACTGACACCCATCAAAGTTCTTTCAAAACTCAGTAGGTGGTCTTTGAGAGAGACTAGAGGAAAAATCAGTCAATGTGGCTGCCAAAATGGTCATGAGCTCTTCTGAATTTAGCAAGGCTCATCTTCAGGTCACAGACACCCCAAGTGTTGGTCACCACACCCCTGTATGAAGCTATTGCAACTTCGTAGGGCCCAAGAATGCTGGTCTTCTACTATAAGGACCTGAAACAGTGAAGGATTTCAAGTTGATAGTATATGATGACTATTTTCAGGATTCAGGGGTATTTAGACTTCAAAAAGAGAGAAAAAAAGTGAGGTGAGTGGTAAGATGTGATATAGGTTAATGACCTAGTTCAGATGTTAATGTTGACCCCTACCAGTAAGCAGTCACTGAACAATTTTCTAAGATTTAGTACCTGCGTACATAGCGGCTATCTCCAAGGGGTATGCTGAGGGTCCACTGGGATAATGCATGCAAAGCTCTCTATAAATATTCAAGGACTATATCAATCTCACCTGAGAGGCAGCATAGGATAGTGCATAAAGACCTAGCATCAGCATCATAAAGACCTGGGTTCACATCCCACCTTGATCCATGCCAGCTGTAAGACTCTTGGCAAGGTGTTTAATCTTTGAATGTCCCAGGTAGGAGGCCTCCAGTGACTCCTGGATCTGTACTTGGCCCTGAGTCGTCTAACATTTTATCAGTGACTTAAGTAAAGGCACAGATAGGGTGCTCATCTGATTTGCAGTCAACATCAATTTGGGAAGGGTAGCTGGGTGATGGAGTCATTGAAGACAATTTCCATGGCCTGTGGCTGGCTTGAATTCAAGATGAAATTCAAAAGGGATAATGTAAAGTCTCACACTAAAATACAAAAAAAAAATATTTCACAAGTACACTTAGTCTGAAAAGGATCTTGGCAACTTGGTTTTCTTTAAATTTTGATAACTGCATTTCATCAAAATCAGTTTCCTTTATAATCCTATTTTGTGCATTTAAAACCATGATTCTGAGGGAGTGCCCCATTGGTTTCACCAGAATGACTGTCAGAGGGGTCCAGGACACAAAAAAAGGAGAAATACTCCTTATATAGGGGTTGAGTAGACTGCACCAAATATGAGTTAGCAGTGTGATATGTCAGGTTAAAAAAAATGATTGTTAGTGTTTGATGAACTTAATTGAAAGAAAAACTACTGGGATGTTGTAGTATAATATTAATATACAGAATTGACCAGTAAGGCAAGTGGAGATCAGATTCCTGACATGGTTTGTCCAAAGTCTTACAGTCAGATTCATGGACCCCAGGTCCTTAACATTTCCTGTGTGTGTCTATTGTTGTTGCTGTCATCCTGTTTTTAGTCTGGTGAATCCTTTGGGTAGCTTCTCAGAAGAAAGTTTTTAAATGCATAAAATAAAAAAGGAAAACCAAGTATTTTAAAATGCAGTGATAAAAACTGTTTTTAACTAAAATTAAATGGCCCCACTTAAGTACCTCTGATTCTAGAGTTTGAGGGGACCTCAGAGGCTGCCTCTTCAATTTCTACCAGTCAGTCTATTAATGAACATTTATTAAGTGTACGATGTGCCAAGTACTGTGCTGAGCTCTGGGGATAAAAAAAAAAAAGAAAAAGACAGTCTTTCAGTGAGCTCACCTATCATTTATAGATAACAATAAAAAAACAGCTGAGATTTATATGATGCTTAATGTATGCCAATCACTGTGTGAAGCACTTTAGAATTATTATCTCATTGGATCAGAATCACAGAAATTGAGTCAGAAGGGACCTCAGTGGTCATCTAATCCTGACCCCATATAAAAGTTAACTCCACCACGACACACCCCACACGTGATGAGCATATGACTTTCTCCAGGTCCCATAGGTCAGAAGGGGAATGTGAACCCAGGCCCTCTAAGCCCCAAACCAGACTTTCTTTCCATTGCAAGAGGCTGCTTCCCAGGTAGGCCCAGAGCAGGGATAGACACCAAGGCTTGTGGCTGCCCAATCCAGCACATTCCCCAGAGCCCCAGTGTCCACCCCCCAACCTCACAGCCAGTGGATTCTCACCCTCCCATCTCACTCCTTACTTTTTGGAGGGTGATATTGGGATTTTTCAAGTCCATCTGGAAGAAGTTGCCAAATATGGGCAGCCCAGGAGGGCCAGGGGGGTAGTTGTGATGCCGCCTCCTCCTCTGCAGGTACTGTGCCAGGATCAGGAGAATAACAGAGAGGAAAAAGAGGGTCTGCAGGGAGGCTCTTTCCCAAAGGGAAGGGAGAAAGTTCTCCAGAGAGAGCCTCATTGTTCCCTATCTCTGGAACCAAGGCCAGATAAGCCAAGCTCCTCCTCCCGCTTTGACTTCCTGCAGCAATAGCAGCAGCTTTGGGGCCACCAGGAGCAGTGTTCTGGTGAGGGACAAAACTCAAAGTGTGTTTCATTCCTCAGAGCTGCTGCCTGGGCTGGCTTTATAGGCCTGTGAGTGAGAGCTTCAGGGAGTGCCTGCCTCCACTCTGTGCCCCAGCCCTCTGCCTTCTGCCAGGGCCTGCCTCTTGGGTGTAACATGCCCCACCCCTACAGTCTTCTGCCCTGAAAAGAAGACTTGGCTTGTCTCCTGGGAACCAGAGAGACAAATTGATCAGGGCATGCGGGGAAGGCTCCACACAGGCAGACCCGTCCAGTAGGCCCCAAATCACAGGGCCTGACCTTTGAGGAAAGAAGGGATCCAGAATGTCACCCCCCTGTTTAGAAGAGCAACAAACTGAGGTTCAGGGAGGCCAGGAAACTGACAAGGTCCCACAGCTCTCTGTAAGTTTCAGAGTCTTCACTGGAACCCAACTCATCTGGCTTCAAATCAGCACATTTCTCCCTACTACAAATGGCCTCCTAATGGACTTGTGAACAAATCTAAAGGGGCTCAAAATTCAGAATCCAGGGACCCCCAAGGGGTATGTAGGTAGATTTCAGTAGGTCTGTGAACTTGAATGGGAGAAAATAACTTCAACTTTATTGGAATAATTTGAATAAAATTTCCAATAGAACTGAAATAAAATTCCAATATAATTGGAATAAATTAAATAAAGTGTCAATGTAATTAGAATCAATTGGAATAAAATTCTAATATAATTGGTATAAATTGGAACAATTTGAATAAAGTTTCAATATAATTAGAATAAGTAAAATAAAATTCCAATATAATTGAAATAAATTGAAATGAAATTCAAATGTAATTAGAAAAAATTGGGATAACTGGAACTATATTCTAGTATGAGTGGAATAAATGGGAATTATTGGAATAAATTGGAATGATCAGAATAAAATCCAATGTAATTGTAATTTCCTTTAAAATCTTATGTATTTTTTTGTGCATCTAAAATGTCTTTCTGAGAAAGAACCCATAGCCTTTAAAAGACTGACCAAGGGTTCTTCTCTGATAAGTAGGCACTTCTAAGTGCTTGGAACTGCTTTTTAAACCTTGCTCAGTGTGTGAGGTTGGACCTGTGACAAGGGGTGAATGGATATCCTTGTGTGTTCCCTTCCAATGGCCTTCATGGAGCAGTGAGCAGAAAGCTGGATTTGGAGTCAAGAGGGCTTGGGCTGAATCTAAGCTGTTCCACTTTTGTTTCCCTGGGCCTCTATTTCTCACGTGTAAAAAAGTAGATTGGACTACCAGAGATGTCAGAGACAAGACCCCAGCCTAAAAGCATTATAGTTCCTCACTCCTGAGTACGACCAGGGACAGATTAAAATGTAGTAAAGAAATGTTTAACAAACCAAAGATACAATACAACATGGATAATGCCAGTCCATGACTTGCTAGGCCTGTAGGTTTACACACCTGCACTAGATGACTTCTGAGGTTCCCTTCCACTCAAAAGTTATGTTCTCTCATTATGGAATAAAAGGCTATGTCCCCTGTCCTCAGGCATTGTGTAAATAAGAGGTGAAGGACAGGAAGATAGCCTTTTGGACCAAAAGGCCAATCAATGACACACAGTTTGTTTATGAATCATAGAATGTTTTATCTGAAAGAAGTCTTGGAGATGATAGGATAATTGGGTCACATGTCTGGAGCTGGAAGAATCTCAGAAACCATCTAGGTCAATGCTCTGATTTTACAGATGAGCAACCAGGTAGAGACCATCATAAATCACCATTACTCTAATGTTCTATAGGGATTTAAGGTTTATAAGTAACTTTGTGGGTTTTATCTCATTTGCTCTTTACAACCATACAAAATAAGTGTGATTATTATGCCCATTTTGCAGATGGAGAAACTGAGGCTGAAAGAGTTTCAAAGACTTACTGAGGGTCACATAGCTAATAGGAGTCTGAAGTAAGATCTGAATTTAGCTCCTCTGAGAGAAATGATTATTAATAAACAATGATTTGGGGAGATCCAAGATTACTCACTTCTTATTAAGTCCAGATTTTACAAACTTCAGTCTCCTGAAGGACATTGATAATGAGATTAGACTAACTTTCTGGTTCAGACCTGACCCAAGGAAGGAGTCATTGTCTCCCACCTGAGGCTTTGGTGGGGCATACATTATTTGAATAGCTCCCCAAAGCTGTGTATGGTCAGGGTATAGAGATAGTCTTTCTCTATCCAATGGTCCCAGGATGTCCCTCTCAACCTCTCATTGAATAACTTCTCTTCAAAGGGCACATAAACTGTGAACCTACTGCCACGATTGTCTTTGGTATAAGAGAGATGGCCAGATGACTATTCTCTTATTAAGAATTGTGTTGGAAATATTGATAAAATGATTAAATTACCCAGAAACTATGTCTCTCAAACTTTTTAGTCACCACAGACCCCAAGTCCAGGGCTCAAAGTGGCCAAAGTTATACGGGTAGTAATTTGTGAGGGTGGGATTGGGTGATAAAGTGTCTAAACAATCCTCAGTTCAGTAAAGTAAAGTAAAGTCTTACATTTGGGTCCAAAAACTCAATTTCACAAACACGAGATAGACAAAGTATGACCATAGACAGTTTGTTAGAAAAAAGGGCTAGAGATGAAGTGAATGGAAGGTCAATATTAGTCAGCCTTTTACTATGGCAATAGAGAAGGCTGTGGCACCTCTAGATTTTTTAAGAGAGGCATGGGGGGGAATCTAAGTGGCACAGTGGATAGAATTCTGGCCTTGGAGTCAGGAGGACCTGAGTTCAAATCTAGCCTCAGACACTTGACCCTTAATAGCTGTGTGACCCTGGGCAAGTCACTTAACCCTGATTGCCTCACTTAAAAAAACAAACAAAAACAAAAACAAAACAAACAAACAAACAAAAAACAAGAAAATGTTGATTTGAAGAATATTGGGGCAGCTAGGCGGTGCAATGGATAGAGCACTGGCCCTGAAGTCAGGAAAACCTGAGTTTAAATCTGGCCTCAGAACAAACACTTGACACTTACTAGCTCTGTGACCTTGGGCAAATTACTTAACCCCAATTACCTAAAAAAAAAAGAGAGAGAGAGAGAGAGAAAGAGAGAGGCACAAGGTCCATGGCCACAGAGGTGACTGATGTGCTGTCCTTTTCCCTGCTCAGACCTCCTCTGGGGCATTGTCTTCAATTCTGGGCACCACAGTTTTAGAAAGGACACTGGGTCATCTATAGAGGAGTTAAGGAAGACTCATACACTTACAGCTTTAGAACTAGAAGGGGTGCTAGTGGTTATCCAGTCCAAACTCTTCATTTTACAGATGAAGAACTGAGGTCCAGAGAGGGAAATGACTGATCCAGGGTCATATGGGTAGTGACTCCAAACCCTGTGATCTTTCCAATGCACCACCCTACTTCCAGATAAAAATACCTCTTGAGATCATGCTATAGGAGAAACTGTTGCAGAACTTAGGGGTGCTTAGCCTATAGGAAAGTGTGAGTATTTAGGGAGAGAGGGTTGGACATGGAGCTGTCTTCAGTTCTTTGAAGGGTTGCCAAGTGAAAGAAAGATTAGCTTTGTCCTTCTTGATGCCAAAGAGCAGAATTAGGGGCAGTGGAGGTATTTTAACTTGACAGGATGGGGAAAAACCCAAATTTACAACTAGAGCTGTCCAAAATTGAAAGGGATTGCTTCTCTAAAACTCAGACCTCCTCAGTAAACTTGCCTTGGGGGACCTCCCTCCCTCTGATTGGAGAAGGTGGAGGATGGACATTAAAGAATTCTTCCTAGATCCTCCATTTAAGGAGAGGTCCCAGGGCAGCCACCTTATCATTTCTCACCTGACTTCAGGACTTCATCTTTGTCTCTCTCCCTTGCCTCTCACCTCCCCTCCCCGCCCCCCCTCCCCCGCCTTCAACTGTTTTTAATGGGCTTTCTATCCCTGTTAGATAGTGAGTCTTTCTTTGTACCTGTATTTTAGATACCTGGTGCATAGTAGGCACTTAACAAAAACTTATTCACTGAAAGCTTCTAAAAGTAACAGGTTCCTTCTGATTTGAGTCCTTCAAGTAGAGAATGTATTACCATTGGACAGGTAAGTTTTAATGGGTATTCTTTAATCAATCAATAAACATTTATCACATGGCTATTATGTGCCAGGTACTGTGCTAAGTGCTAGGGACACAAAAAAGAGGCAAAGGACCATCCTAGCCCTAATCTAATATGGGAGAAAACATAGAAACAAGTACATATAAACAAGCTCTAAATATCATTAATAGGAAATCATTAACAGAGGGACCACACTAGAATTAAGAAGGGTTGGGGAAAGCTTTCTATAGAAGATTTTATTAAGACTTAGGTATGGCTAACTAGATCCCCTGAGGTCCTTCCAATTTGGAAATTTTGCTGTCCTGGGACTCCTTTGACTTCATCAATCCATCTGTCAATTAATCAATCCACAAGCATTTATCAATGGTTCTCCTTGATGCTGTCTTCTCTCTAGGTTTTCAGAATCATTTCTCTCTCCTGGATCTCCTCCCATGTCTCTGATCACTCTTCTGTCTCCTTTGCTTGATCCACCTCCAGATCATGCCCTCTAACCATAGGGGTCCCTCAGGGTTCTGTCCTGGGCCCTCTCCTCATCTCACTCTATGATACTTTACTTGATCTCATCTGCTCCCATGGCTTAATGACCATCCCTCAGCTGACAATTCTCAAATCTGCCTATCCTGTCCTGGATATCTATTTGCTGACCTCCCATTGCATATCTCCAATCACCTTCTAGAAATCTCAACCTGGATGTCCAGTAGACATCTTAAATTGAACTCATCTCTCTCCTTAAATCCTGCCCTACCTCCTAATTTCTCTATTGCTGTCAAGGCTCATCACTTAGGAGCTATCCTGGATTCCTCACTGTCTCTCACCCTCTACATCTAATGTGTGCCAAGGATTGTTGACTTCACCTTTGCAACATCTCTCAAAAATGTGTCCTCTTCTCTC